TTCAGCAGCAGCCCAGGCTGCAGAGAAAGGGACATGGGGTGCAGGAGAGATGGTGCCTTCAGCAGCGTTAGAGGAGGCTGGGCTTCAGTAACTGGCTTCCCATGTGGCTTCAAAGGTCTCCAGAGGCTCCAGAGCGTGTCCTTGCACACTCATACACGCAGCCACCTTCTCTCATCCCTGTGTCACTGAGCAGAAGGAGGCAGCTGGAGCCCTGGGGCGCTCAGTGGCTGTGGAAGAAGGTCCTGTCTGCACTTCGGGTAGCAGAGGCAGGAGCTGGGGCAGGCAGGCGTGCCCTCTGCTGATGAGCTGCCTGCTGTGCAGCGCAGCTGGGCCAGGGACAGCAGGGACAGCCGTGCTGGGTCCCCAGTGCCAGCAATGCAGGGTCCCCAGCGCCAGCAAGACAGGGTACCCGGCGGCAGCAATGCTAGGTTCCCAGCTCCAGCAATGCAGGGTCTGCAGTGACAGTGGTGTAGGGTCTGCAGGGATGACAATGCAGGTCCCAACATGCCAGCAACACAGGGCACATGGTGACAGTGATGTGGAGAGTGAGGTGGCAGCAGTGCAGGGGCTGTGGTGGCAGTGGTCAGTGTCTGAGGTGGCAGCAGTGCAGGTTGCAGTGTCTGGGATGCAGGCATGAATTCAGGTTTCATGGTGCAGCACAGGGGCTTGGCCATGCTGGGTCTCCTCCCAGCCATGGGCTCCGGCTACACGTGTCCCCACACTGTCCCCTGCCACCATCTACTTCTACCCTTCCCAGAACCTGGATCAGCCAGGAGCTCAGCTGCACTGGGATGATTCTCCAGTACCCAACAGCAAGAAGGCCATTGCCTACCTGCACGGGGGGGACTGAAGGTGTTGCTACCTCACTTGGCCATGAAGCCTAGGCAAGGGAAAGGGCTTGTATCTGGGCAGAGGAGCATGTCCCACATCCAGGCAGCTTGTGGGTAGCAGGACCTCACCAGTGCTGGGTGGGATTGCAAGGGCTGCTGACAGCACCCAGCAAAGCAGGTCTGCTTTGCTTTGCTTTGCTTTGCTTCCTTCTGGCTTGGCCATGTCCTGCCCCACACCATGTGGGGATGTCTCTGTGCTGGGAACAGGGGGGTCCCGCTTTGAGTGAGCAGGATCTGGGGTGGTGCAAGGATGCACAGGTAGCCAGGCAGACCTAGGAGCAAAGGGACAGGGCTGGAGCAAGGTTGGCACAGAGCTGAGGTCACTGCTGAGGCCAGAAGGTGGAGTGGTCTCATGGATCCCCAGCACCAAACTCTCAGAGCTGTTCAGACCTGCCACTGGGCCCAGGGACTTGTAATTTGCTGTGAAGCCCTGTTGGACCTTGCAGCAGCATGGACCAGAAGGAAAGGCAGCAGGTGACTCTGGGAGCTGCCTCCAGATTTAGTGGTGACAGGCACCAGATTGTCCCACCCCAGCCATGTCTTCAGTATCCAGGACTCCAAAACTGGGCTCCAGGCATTGCTCACCTGTGGCCTTGACTGTGCAGAGACACAACTTCTAGGGACACTGACAAACACCGTTTGCTGCCCTGTGCAGGGGCTCAGGCTCTCCACAGCCAGACAGATGCTGCAAGATGGGGGCTGACTTCTTCATCACCCAGAACATTACAAAGCCACAGGAGCTGCATCTTCACCACAGCTGGTGTCCCCAGGGGCTGTGACAGGCAGGGGATAGGCAGGGCTGGGAAAGCCACCACTGGAGACACATCACTGCTCTGATACACTTGTAAGAAGAGGACTTGGAGAGAGCTTTATTTTATTTTTTTTTCATAGAGATTTTTAATGCTTATTTTTTAACAGACTTGGTTGAAAGTTTTTGTTTTCTACAATAATTCAATGTAAAAATCCCAGTACAATATACAACGGCTTGACATTTGGAATAAGAAATCCAGCTTGGGCAGACACGTGAGTTCAGCTAGTTTCTAACACAGGTAGCAAAATTCCCTCCACCCTCCCCCAGATTTCCCAGCCAGGAAGGCATGTGAACAGAAATGCTTTTACAAATGTCACTCCCACCCCATCAAGACACTGGCTGCCCTGTCCCTGCCTGGACTGCAGTGGGACAGTCCCTCAGATGCATCACCTTGGAAAGGGTAAGGTCCTCTCCATGGGATGGCAGGGAGCCTCCAAGGTTGGAAGGCACAGTCTGCAGTCAAGCCAGGCTGGTTGGGCCTTGTGCGTGAGTGATGCAGGATGCTCTCCTGCATGCAGGTCCCTCAGGCTGTGGGGCTTCTTCAAGATGGAGAGCAGACCCATCCTCCCCTTGGCAGCAGCTCCAGCAGCCTTGTGCCCTAGTGCAGCCATAGGTCATTGGAAGGGGGTGGCCATGGCCCTGTGTAGCCCAGACCAAGGGAAGGAAAACAAAGATGATGCAATGGTCCCTGGCTCTAAGGTCTGAGGGGTCATCTTAGGGATAGCTTACTGGCCTGGGAGCTGACAGGCTTTCAGGAAGCCACTTGGGCCTGGCCCATGGTACTCAAGCAGCCTGGAATGGTCCCTTTTGAACAACCTGGAGTGGTTCTGCTCAAGCTACATGAAGTGGTCCAGCTTGAGCAACATGGGAAGGTTCTGCTTAAGCTACATTGGATGATCCTGCTCAAGCAGCCTGGAGAGGTCTTGCTTGAGCAGCATGGGATGTTTCTGCTCAAGCACTGTGGGATGGTCTTGCTTGAGCAGCATGAGGTATTGCTGTTCAAGCAGCATGGGATGGTCCTGCTGGAGCAGCATTAGGGTGATCCTGCCAAAGCAACCTAGAGTGGTTTTGCTTGAGCAACACAGAATGGTCCTGCTGGAGAAGCATGGAGTGGTCCTGCCTAAGTAGTGTAGATGGTTCTGCTTGAACAACATTGGGTGGTCTTGCTTGAGCACCATGGAGCAGCTGCAAGTGGCAGGGATAGTTCCTCATGTCCTGCAGCATCCCAAGCACTGCATTCAAAGCCATGTCTGGCCTTTCTTGTCCCTCTTGGAAATCCTACACTGCTTGGAAAAGTCTCCTAAAGATGCATGTGCTTGAAGAGATCCCAGGGAGCTCTGGTCGAGCAACATGTTCCAAAATAGTTATTGCTAATACTAAATGAGGACATTGGTGACTTTATCTAGCTGAGTTATGAAACCTTCCAAGGGCAGAGATCCTCATACTTCCCCAGTGACCAGTTCCAGCTGCCCCAGCCCTAGGGAGAAGTGTTTCCTGATGTTCAGCATGAACCTCTGGGTCTGCAAGGTGTGGCCATTACCTCCACTATGAAAGTACCTTGAGTAGAGGATGGGGTGGAAGGCTGGTTCTCCATCCAACCTAGCCCCACATCCCATCCCCAACAGTGAGGGCCCTTCCCATCTCATCATGGATGGCTGTGCTGGTGAGAGCCTTCTTGGGTTGGTAGGGGATGAAATACAAGGCAGGGGAAGGAGAAAGAACAGGAGAAAATAACAGCAGGAGTCAGATGTGCCCAGAGTAAAAGAGTGAAGGGAGGATGGAGGAGGAATGGGAGAGGCCAGGCTGGGAGAAGATGGGAGGTCAGGATGGTGTTGGGAGGTGAAGAATTGAAAGGACAGTGAGAGAGGGAGGTGTGAAGTAAGGGAGGATGGTTGGAAGTCAGGAAAGGATGGAGGGGAAATCTGTGAGGTAGATGGGACACTTGGAGGATAAGGAGGGATGGGGAGATGGGGAGAGGTGGAAGAGTATGAGGAGAAACAGGGAGACTGTGAGAGGTGAATGACAAGGGATGGTGAGATTGCCAGAGGCTGAGTATGAGGAGGGACAAGACAAGAGGTGACAGAGCATGGAAAAAAGGATGGGAAACAATGAGAGGTGGAGATTCACAGGAAGGACAGAGAGACTGAGGTGGAGGAAGAGGTATGACATGGAGGATGGGGGAGAAGGTATGGGACATGGTGGAAAGTGGAGGACAATGAAGAGAAGGGAGGTTGGAAGAAGACAAGGAGGAATGGGCAGATGGTAGGAAGTCGAGGAAGAGGAAGAACAAGCAAATAGTGGGTGGTGTTGGGGCATGGGCAAGGATGGGGGACAGTGGAAGGTAGAGGAGGATGAAGGTGAGAAAAAATGGAAAACAGGGAGAGTTAAGATGTAAGGTGGCAGAGAAGAAGGAGGGATGGGAAGATGGAGATAAAGGAAGGAGGGATGAGGAGACACAAGAGGGAGGGGGCATGGTGGGTAATGGAGGAGCATGGCATGGCATGGAGGGATGGGACACAGTGAATGACAGCACAGTCTGGAAGGTGTGGAAGGAGGGGTGGGATGTGAAGGGGCTGGAGAACAGGGAGGTGTGTGAGGTGGTGGGTGATGGTGGAACACAAGAAGGGATAGGACATGATGGAGGATGCAGGAGCACATGAAAGAGGGACAGGACATGGTGGCCAGTGGAGGAGCACAGAAAGGAAGAATGGAAACTGGTGGGTGATGGAGGAGGACAGCAAGAAGGGAGAGGACACACTGGGTCACAGAAACACAGGAAGAAGGGATGGCATGGGTGGACAACAGAGAAGAAGCAGGAGGGGTTGGACATGAAAGATGGAGGTATACTGGAAAAGGGATGGGATATGGTGAGTGATGGAGCATGGAAAGGAGGAGTGGGATGGGTGCATGATGAAGGAGCATGGGAAGGAGGGCTGGGTTGGGTTAGGTGGGGGATTAAGGAGCAGAATAGAGAAGGATGGGATCTGCTGGACAATAGAAAAACACATGAAAGAAGGATTGAGGGTCAAGGATTGAGGGTCAAGGACAACAAGAAAGAAGGATAGGACAGGAGGGATTAGAGCAGGGATAAGGAACAGGACATGAAGGATGATGGAGGAGCAAAAGGAGTGTTGGGTCATGATGGGTGATGGAGAACCTCAGGGAGGGACAGTTTAATGTATCTGGAGGAGGCTGGGACCTGCAGGTGATGAGAGGCACAAGGGCAAGAAGTCATGGGCAGCGATGGGAAAGGGGATGAGGGTGTCCACATGAAGGCTGGGGTGAGCTGCTGGGCAGGATGGGACAGGGGCTTAAGAAACACCAGCATCACAAGAACAATGCAGAGCTGAGGGGGCCTGGTGACAGCCCTGGCAGTGAGGCCATGAAGGACCCACGGGCGATGGCAAGGAGCCCTGGTGGCACAGCACAGCTGGGGTCAGCAGACAGGGATGGAGCTGGGGAGACACAGGATGAGGAGAGGATGTGACACCGGGCTGGGCAGCTGGCAGGATGGCAAAGACAGAGGGACAAGATCTAGACACACCCTTCCATGGGTGCCCACACTCCCCTCCACAGCAGCATCAGTTCCCAGACAGGACAGGCATCACAGTCCCCCCTGCAGCACAGGGATGCAGCACAGAGGGGGGGTGCAGGGTGGCAGGGCCTTTATTCATCACAGGAAAAGCAGGCATGGTGGAGGGCAGCAGGGGAGGGGGGCAGGGGCTGTCATCGGGGCAGATGATGCCCTTCATGCGACCTGGGCATGGGCTGGTGAGGGGAAGCAGGAGGATGGGGCAGGGACAAGAGTGGCTTTGCCCAAAGGACCTCAGGCTTTGCCTCAGGCTGGGCACTGGTGCGTGGGGAGGGCAGGGGCTGTTGTGGGGAGGACAGGGGCTGGCTCAACCACCTCCACATCTCAAGCACATTTTCCCTCTTGCCTTTGCAAAACCCTTGGCTCAGCCCCCAGCCCCATGGGAGGACGCCCAGCACCTCTATCTATTTACAGAGTAAGACAGAACTGACCAAGATTACAAAGAATTCAAAGGCATTTGTAAAAATGAGAAACCACATTCCAGAAATAGAGTCTTTAAAAAAAACCAAAACAAAACAAGAAAACAAACCAAAACCAAACCCCCCTGTTATCAATGAAAATGCTAAAAACCACCCCGAAAGGATCTCTGTACAGCAGGAGAGTGCCCGTGGCAGCTGCTTCTCCGTGGCAGGCAGGGATGCTGCCCAGCCCCGGTGCTGGTGAGGGTGGCAGCACCTGCCCTGTGTGACTCCCCCGGGTGACGAGGGTCCCCCCCGAGGGGCTGGGGAGGTGCCACACAAGCAAAAGGCCATCGGTGCTGGGCCTGCTGGGCCCTGGTTGATGCTGGTGTGTCCAGAGACACAGGCAGTGAGTGAGTGGCCGTCGCGGAGATGCTGACGGAGGCTGCGACGTGGCAGGGATGCAGCCTGTCTGCTGTGGGCAGCGAGCGGCTGGACAGGAGGGGGCAGCAGGAGCAGTTCTTAAGTGCAGCTGCAGGATGACAGCAACGGCACAGAGCCCCTGGAGCAATGCTTGGAGGTCCTGGAGCAATGTCACAGAGCCCTAGAGCAACGTGCAGAGCCTCTGGAGCAATGCACAGAGCTCCAGAGCAATGCACAGAGCCCCTGGAGCAATGTCACAGAGCTCCAGAGCAACTTGCAGAGCCTCTGGAGCAGTGTACAGAGCCCCAGAGCAATGCTTGGAGGTCCTGGAGCAATGTCACAGAGCCCCTAGAGCAAGTCACAGAGCCCCAGAGCAACGCACAGAGCCTCAGGAGGTGGAGGCACCTTCAGACAGCACCATCTGGATGAATCCCTGCCTGGCCCCGTGGCAAACAGCTTGAAAATAGGTCAGGCAGCAGCCTCTGGAATTGCTTTTCTCTCCTGGGGCTGCACAGAGGCACCAAAGCTGCTCTGCGTGGGGCTGGATGCAGCCCCCCAGCTCTGGGAGCCCTGCAGCAGCAGGGGGGCTGTGGCTGCTGCCCCCCTCCCTCCTCAGATAAGGCTTTTTCTGGCGGTGGCTGAGGCCCGCGGGGCACGGGCCGGGCTGCAGCCTCCCAGCCCACAATCCCTTAATCCAATTGGCGCATCTCCAAGGGAGCTCATTTTGGTATTTTTAAAATGCACTTGGTTTTACATTGCAGGCTGTCCGGAGTGGGGCAGAGCCAAATGTGGGGAGAGAGAGAGGGAGAGAGAGAGGGGGGTCTCGGCAGGAACTCTGAGGGGTCTGGGAAGGGTCTGGAGGGGTCTGGGAAGGGTCTGTGAGGGGTCTGGGG